TCAACAACATTAAGCTCAAGTATGAATACAAAAGACACACCGTAGTTTGAGCTTCTGAAGCCATCTCAATACCAGAGTATTGTGTGATTGATCCTAGAGAGATGTGTGTGAGGACCCTGCTTGTGTCATGGCTGGCAGGAAAAAAATGGGTGAGGGAAGAATGAAACTTGGTTCAGCCCAACTTAGGCAGGACTGGGCCAAACTTCTGAAGTCTGGCACCTAGTGGTTTATTTTAGCCATATTTAAGCAGCAAAATTTTTTGGGGAAAAGTTACCTCATGATAATTAACTCAGTCCTGTGTGTACAACAAAGTTTAAGACATGTTTACATTGAAGTTATTTAACAAGTTCATATGGATTCTTTCATAAGGATAGGTATTGGTGACTCGAACAGTGCTCAAGGTAAGGGTCTAGGGAGAATGACTGAGCTATATCTGATGCCTGTGGGGGTCAGGATTGGGCTGGCCCCAAGATAACAGGTCACCGAGCCTGTTGTAAAGTACGAGTGATGTCCCTCATAAGGATGAGTTTATGCACTGAAAAGCAAGGTTCAAGATTTAGTGGGGGTAGGGAGATGAGTCTGGGATAAAGGGACATAATATTCTGGGGGACTCAGGTGGAGCCTGGCCCAGAGGACAGCAAAGGTCATTAGGTTATAAACTACATCCTTTCCCAGTGCTCATGGTGGAAGGCAGGGAAGCATCACCTTCCTTTGAGGTGAGCATGAATGTTTAACTGTTCCTGCTTTCCTGTGCTTATCTGCGTGTACAAGAATCTATTCACCTCAGATAAGGCACCACCAACAAAGAAACCGTTGCACCCAAGACTAGCTTAGTGAGCCAGCGAGGTTTATTGGGGTTACCTATGAGTATGGGTGAAGTGTTAAAGAAGCATTGTGAGCCAGAGGCAGCTGCATCACTAAAAAACCTACTTGGGTACAAGAAAGGACTCTTGAAGACTGCATCCTTGAAACCCCCTCAATTTGCCAAGAGTTTAGCCTATCCATCCCCTGATAATCATACCACATTCCTTGTAAAACCCTGGGGAGAGGTCTTGTGACTTTTGTTTCAGAAGTTTTCTGAGCTTTGTAAGTTTTATTTCCTGGGTCTTCTAAGCCTCCATCCTTTGCAGGAGAAAATAATTTCATTTGGAGGGAACAACTATACAATACAGAGACTTCAAGAAAGATGTCCCGTGAAGAATGATAACACGATTAGCCTTTTGGATTAAACTTTTAATTGAAATTTGGTTTCTGTGACACCCCCACCAATATCTAACATGTTTATCATTAAGCCAGAGTCCACTGCCATGTTAAACACAGAGCACAGAGGAATACACGAGGTTCTTGGCAAGCACTTAAAACATGAAATTTAACCACAACTTTTGGGCATCGAGTTCCTTAGCACATTACAAAAGATTCCTTTGGCTCCCTGTGAAGGAGCAGAACAAACACCATTTTGAGAAAGAACTCCATGTTAGACAGGGCCTAAGGGGGGCGGGTGAATGCAGCCCAACAAAAGTCATAAACATCACCAAGAAACTGTGCCAGCCCTGGTCAGAATGACCCACCAGGGTGTCCAGACAACAGCTGTGTACATCTGCTTGCTTCAGACATCCTTACTGGTATCTGATTAACTGCTGTTTTGAAATTCCTCTATACCCCAACCAACGGATTCAGAGATTGTGTACCCATACTCAACCCCGAAACGCCAACACTCGTGCCACCCTGCTTGCGGTTTTCCCTTTAAAAACCCCTAACCCAAGGACTCAGGGCTGTCTCCCCCACTTGCTGCCTCAGTGTGTTGGATTATGATCCATAAACCCCAGTGTGTTGCATGAGATACTGGCTCTGTGGTGATCTCGTTTGGGGGTTCTGTGTGACGTGGGCATAACTCTCGATGTAGGACCAGCGTTCATGTTACCATTGCCAGTTGTGCTGTGTAGCATGACCTTAACATTTGGGTGATCTGGACAATTCATTCCATTGCTACTTGTTATATTCCATCTTTTGTAGTACAATTAATAACCCAGAGACAGATATTGGGGTTTAACCTGAAGGTCAGAAAAACAAAGCAGCCAGCCACTGGCTTTTACCTCTATCTCAGTCCAAAAATAGTGATCCTCCCTCCAGGAATCCTCAGAATGACACTGCCGGAAGGCTGTCTCCCCATCTTTTATTGTATATTCCTCCCTAGTGCCGGGATTGAAGGCATGCACCACTACTACCTGGTTCCATAGCAAACTAGTGTGGCTATTGGGATTAAAGGTGTGTATCACCACTGCCTGGTCTGTAAGGCTGACCAGTGCAGCTGTTTTACTCTGACCTTCAGGTAAGCTCTATTTATTAAAATACAAATGAAATATCACTACAATCTTTTACTAAATATTTCATCTGAGACTCGTCTAAAGGTCTGTCATGTTTTCTGGAAATACACTCTTCTTGCACTGAAGCCATTCTGTTTGGTAAAATAAGCAAACCCAGTTCCAAAGCTGCAGACTAAGTACAGCTGGTGCGTCAGATTTCACTATGTAGATGCCCCACCCGAGCCACCACATTCCACCCCTGCCTGCTGCTTCACAACCCAATGCAAGTTATTTTCCTAAACATAGATTTCAACTTATTTCCAAGGTTTGTTCCTTGTCAACACCACCTTTCACTTCAGCCTGTTCTACAAAGCCAAAGTCATAAACCTATGCCAGTGTCCTTAGAATATGAAACAAAACAAACAAGTTAGGAGACAGACTCCTTAGAGTAACCAAAGGTGTTAGGGTAAAGCCCTAGAAACCCGGGCTAGGCTCAGTTGCTTGTCCAAATTCAAGGGAAAATCAAAGGGGAGAATTAGTCAGGTGACTGTATTGGGAAGAGGAAAAACTGTAACCCCCTTGGGGCAGGCAGGAAGTAGGCATAACTAAGCAGTCTTGCTAGATGTGTGGTCTGTCTGGTCATTGCTCCAATTCTGATCCTGCAAGGTGGGGAGTCCATATTGCTGTCATCACGTGAGATCATCCCTCTCACTCCTACAGAAAGGTCATTTCAGCTCTAGGGTGAATTCATGGATAATTGCTCTCAGCTACTGTGATGTAAGAGAAAGGTAGGGCAGTAACTTATCTTTGCCCCTTCAGCCTTAGAAAGGAAGACAAACACACAATAAGGCAGCGATGCCAGGCTCTCAGCCAGTTTTCAGTTACCCTGTGGCCACAAGGGAGGCCTTTTTATTTATTTTTTTTACAAAAGCACAGGTGCCTGCTTCTTTAGGGACTGGGTTTGTGAAGCAGCTCAGCGCTGAAGTCAAGCCGCCCTCTATACAGCACTTCTATGCCCTTCGGTAGTCAGACTCTTGTTTAGGAAGTTCCTTGGGGGTTAATTATACAAGGGTCTGGTTCGGCTGTATCTCTTTCCGTTGAATTTTAAGAAGCACTGGCTACTTGGAGCAAAAATACCCATGGTGCCCTGGGACCCAATCCGCAGGGACCTTGTGGGAAAAGAGTGCAGGACCAACACCAGAGCAACACTGTGAGGAGAGCCAGAAACAGTGCAACAGCTGGCCGGTAGATGATTAGGCTGACTCGCCACAGAGCAGTGGAGCCAGAGGGGAGACGCCCTAAAGGAGGGTGACAGCGCGAATGGAAACTAAGGCAAAAAGAACACTAAAAACAATATTTGGGGGGCTGGAGAGATGGCTCAGTGGTTAAGAGCACTGCCTGCTCTTCCAAAGGTCCTGAGTTCAATTCCCAGCAACCACATGGTGGCTCACAACCATCTGTAGTGAGGTCTGGAGACCTCTTCTGGCCTGCAGACATACACACAGACAGAATATTGTATACATAATAAATAAATAAATATTTAAAAAAAACAATATTTGTGTGGATAAATAATTACGGTCAACGTCCTTGTGTGGTGCTGAGGATAGACCCTCACATACGCTAGGAAAGCACACTGACCTATATTCCAGAATAGGCCAAACTAGCACGAAAACAGTATCCAAATCTAGATACAAATAAGACTTCGATCTTTAAGGACTGGTACAGATGTCTTCAATCCTGTCACCTGAAACAGGAAACTTAAAACTTAAGACGCCGTGTGTAAACTGGAAACTGAACTAAAAACCCAAAAGAAACCAACTGTGTAGGTTTAGTGTCCAAATGTTTTAGGAGCAGTTTCCGAACTGTACTTCAGTAGAGACTTTTACTTCACAGACCACCTCACTGCCAGGTCTGAAGGGTAGCCTAATGCTTTTCTCCACTCTGACAATATTTATATTAGCATGATTTGACTTCATTTCCCATCAAAAGAAAAAATACAGTGGTGTAAGCCACCATTCTTAAAATACCTCTTCAGACTTACACTCCTCATTCGCAAACACACATGAAACTCGAGTAGAAATAAGCTCTGTGGGTAATAGGAGAAAAAATAAACCAGAATCCATCATCATCACAAGAAAAGGTAGGCGTCTAGAGAAGGCAAAAAGCCTTCGAATTGTTAAAGAGACGAGCAGTACTTGGTGACCTGCCAGCTGCCCAGGAAACAGAGCAGCAGGCACAGGGCCGCCAGGCTCTCCCGCGATGGACACAAATAAGCAAGTGGACGATCGAGCTCCCGGGGAACCCGGCGTGGGACGAGAAGCCCGCACCGGAGACGGAGCGGCTCACCTACACCCACCCGGCAACTCTCTCCACACCGCCGCACTCCCTGTCACAGGCGGGGCGCGCTCGGCCCGCTCCCGCGCCGGCAGAACCGAAGTGCGGCAGGCCGGGGCGCCCCCGAGAACCCGGCACTGACAACGGCCACAGGCAAATGAGGGCTCTGGCCAGGCGCATCGTGATTCGGCGTTCGCGGCGGGGCGAAGGAGCCCGGCTTATGTAAATGAGCGGATTGTGAGCGCGCGCTCCTATTGGCCAAGGAGCGAGGACGCGTGTGAGCCAATGAGCGCGTCAGGCGGACAATCGGGGCCGTGTCTATAAATGGAAGAGGCGGCGGCGCCGTGGTCCAGTTTCCTGTTTGCGCGAGCGTGTGAGTTTGTGTGTTCCGTCATGTCTGGCCGCGGTAAGCAAGGAGGCAAGGCCCGCGCCAAGGCCAAGTCGCGGTCGTCCCGCGCCGGCCTGCAGTTCCCGGTGGGGCGCGTGCACCGGCTGCTGCGCAAGGGCAACTACGCGGAGCGCGTGGGTGCGGGCGCGCCCGTGTACATGGCTGCCGTGCTGGAGTACCTGACGGCCGAGATCCTGGAGCTGGCGGGCAACGCGGCCCGCGACAACAAGAAGACGCGCATCATCCCGCGCCACCTGCAGCTGGCCATCCGCAACGACGAGGAGCTCAACAAGCTACTGGGCAAGGTGACGATCGCGCAGGGCGGCGTCCTGCCCAACATCCAGGCCGTGCTGCTGCCCAAGAAGACCGAGAGCCACCATAAGGCGAAGGGCAAGTGAGGCCGCTGCCCGCATCTTGGCGGCTCGCGTCTCGGGGACGCTCGCGAACTCAAAGGCTCTTTTCAGAGCCACCCACTCCTTCAGATTAAAGAGTTGTGTCACGGTAGCCGGTGTCGTGGCCTTTGGCGGCCCGTTCCCAAAGTGTAAGATGTAGCGTGGGCCACTCGCTTTAGGCGTCCCCAGCGCCCTTCCCACTGTGTCCGAGGTCCCCCAGGTGGTCGTCTGTGCGGTCGCCCTAAGTGCTCCTGTCCCGGAGCGAACCCCGCACTGTCCTAAGCACTTGGCGCCATATGTCGGTCCTACACATCCACCCTGCATAACTTGTCCCGCGCGCTGCTTCCCGCCCCAGTCTCCTGAACGTTTCCTGCCCCTCCCCCGGGCTTGGGACTTAACCCCGACGTCGAGCCCAGGGCAGATGCAAAGCACAACTAGCCCCGCTCTCGCCCGATCCCCCGGCAAAGTCTACAAGAGGGACGTGTATCGGGACGACGGGGCGCGGCCAGCTCTCGGGATCGCGACGGGGCGATCACTGGGCGACACTGAACATTATTAGCTCTGGGACTTTGGACGACGGGCGGGCGGGTGAGCTCGCGCGCCTCTCTGGAAGAGACGTCCAGAGTTGGGATTTGCAGCCAACAGAGGTGTCCCCCTGTCGCGTTGTCCAGTCAGCTGGCCGCAGGCTGGACAAGGCAGCAGGGCGACCAGGGGCGGGGCAGCCCCAGCCAATGGGCCGGCCCGGGGCCGGTGACGCCACGGCCAATGGCCCGGCAGCGCGGGACTTTCAAGTCGCTGTCTCCGCCCCGCCGCGGGGAAGACGGCGCCTATAAAGTCGGCCGGCTCGTTCCCCGCTCAGGTCTCCGCGCTTCTCGTCTCGGTGTGTCCCATCCCCGTCATGGCCCGCACGAAGCAGACCGCCCGCAAGTCCACCGGCGGCAAGGCCCCGCGCAAGCAGCTGGCCACCAAGGCTGCCCGCAAGAGCGCGCCGGCCACGGGCGGCGTGAAGAAGCCGCACCGCTACCGGCCCGGCACCGTGGCGCTGCGCGAGATCCGGCGCTACCAGAAGTCGACCGAGCTGCTGATCCGCAAGCTGCCGTTCCAGCGCCTGGTGCGCGAGATCGCGCAGGACTTCAAGACCGACCTGCGCTTCCAGAGCTCGGCCGTCATGGCGCTACAGGAGGCGAGCGAGGCCTACCTGGTGGGTCTGTTCGAGGACACGAACCTGTGCGCCATCCACGCCAAGCGCGTCACCATCATGCCCAAGGACATCCAGCTGGCCCGCCGCATCCGCGGGGAGCGGGCCTGAGCACTACGCGTCGGTTCCATCCCACCAAAGGCTCTTTTCAGAGCCACCACGTGCGCCCGAAGGAGCTGTTCGCCTCTCGGTCCTTGTCTACTACGGTCATGGGGAGAGGTCGGTTTCGGGGTGGTCGAGGAGCATCTATGGGTGGTCTAATTTTCTCAGTTGTTGCACTTGTGGCCCTTTAAGGGTTCTTTGCAGGAAGTTTCCCAAAACACCTGTTGAAGTAACCCAGTAGCATGCTCTGGGAACAAATGCTTTCACAGCCGCCTTGCAAAAGTGTTCTATTGTGGCCCTTTAAGGGGTGTTTGAATTGGTTTTTTTTTTTTTTAAGCGATTGTTGGGTTTTCTTATTAACCTCTTTGTCTAGTTCCCTAGTTCAATCAGTCTGCAACGCCTTTTGTCTGCCTGGGCATCTTAAACCTGTGCTGTATTTCAACTGGTATTTCTAATGATATCGTTGGTGCTGAGATGGGTTGGAGCGACCCTGCCATAAGGCAGTCGCTAAGGAAACAGCATCGCAGTCCAGGAGTTAAAGGATCTGTTGTGTAAGCATGACAGGAAGTATCCTCTACTGATGAGTGCCACGCCCACCACTGTCCAATCCTGGGTGTGCTATGACCTGGGTGGGAAAAATAGTGCACCCAGTGCCTGAGCATGTCGGGGACCCTGCTCTAGCGGGGAACCGGCCTTCCTAAAGAAGCTGAACGTTCCGGACACCTAGCTTTCAGCTACCTTATAACCTTCCTAGACTTCTGAAGATAATTGTTGTTTCTTCCCTTTACTTCTAGGCAATGTCTGGGGACTGACTATGTGCTCATGATCGGTGGTAAGTGGGCCACTATCAGTAATATCCAGTGACACCCGCCTTCCCCCTATTCCTGTGGAGTTGAGGAATTAGACCTCTTGTAGCCTCTTGGAACTCAATATGTATTACTCTTGTTTGACCTTATTCTGTGGCAATTGGTTTTCTTTCTCCCCCTTATTTCCATTTAATTTACTTTAAAATGCCAACCCAACTGCAATATGATATAATATATGCATTATATATCAGAGACTTTTCTGTACAGAAACAGACTCTGAATGTCAAGGAAGGACTTGCTATTTCTTGGCCTGAGGAGGGTCTTCTGCAGGGGTGAATGTTGCACCTGAGACTCAAAGATCATAGTAAATAACTCGGGTCATTATCAGGGACCTTCCCTCTTGTCTACTGCCTGAAACTTCTAGGAAATCTTCCAGGAAGCAAACTCGAGCTTTGCCTAAATATTTGAGAAGTTACCAGTCCAAGGTTCTTTGAATTCAAGATACTGGTGGTCAGTGACCCAGGGAAGCGCCATGACTCCTCTTTTCACCTCTCTGCCATCTGAGAGCCCCCAGAGCTGGGAGGAGGATTCAAGATTATTAGCTCTGCTCCAAAGCCAGCCTGTTAACTGGGGTACGGGTCAGGGTCTTAGCCTGCACTCCATCCCATTCCTAATCCCTTCAATCATTGGCACCTGAGACTCACTGATAAGCGGAGAAACTGATGCAGAAATAGTTTTTAAAAACACTATGCCTTTGAAAGGAGTGGATAAAGGGGGAAACTGAGGGCTGGGGCTCTGGTCACTCACTCATGACAGTGACAGTTTCCAGCCCTACCCTGAGTGCCTCAATATGGAACTAGAACCTTGAAATCAGTGATTAAAGTATTACAACACTGTGCCTATTACACAATGGTGATATAGGTGTGTATTAGAACACACAGGGCTGGCAGGGATGCAGTAAGAAGGTGCCGTAATCCCTTCAATCATTGGCACCTGAGACTCACTGATAAGCGGAGAAACTGATGCAGAAATAGTTTTTAAAAACACTATGCCTTTGAAAGGAGTGGATAAAGGGGGAAACTGAGGGCTGGGGCTCTGGTCACTCACTCATGACAGTGACAGTTTCCAGCCCTACCCTGAGTGCCTCAATATGGAACTAGAACCTTGAAATCAGTGATTAAAGTATTACAACACTGTGCCTATTACACAATGGTGATATAGGTGTGTATTAGAACACACAGGGCTGGCAGGGATGCAGTAAGAAGGTGCCGGCTGCGAGCCAGGTACAAAAACTCGGAGAACCAATCCTGTCCCCACTTTGGCTTTGTGTGTCCAGTCTCCAGAGTCATGAGAAATTGTCTTCCGATTAAACTACCCAAAATGTGATGATTTGTTGGAGTGGCCTGCTGTGGGCCTGCTGTGGGCCTGCTGTGGGCCTGCTTTGGTTTGAATATGGTCTGAGATGTGTTTCCTCGAGTTCTTGTGTTCAAGGTTATGTCATTCGAAAGTCTGCAGTATGGCTTTGTTGAGGGTGGGGGACTCTTACATCGGTGGTCTAGTACAGCCTTATCAAGAGCGTGAGGACATCATTCTCAGAATCAATTGATGCATGCCCTTAGGAGATAGTTCTTAAAGAGCTGGTTATCCTAAAAGAGAGACCTTCCTATCTGCTTGGCCTTTCTGCATGTCAAAAGGTCTCTTTCTGTTTCTGCGCTGTATTTTACTGTGGTCAAGTTCCATGCTGTTTGAACCACTGAGTCCCCAGAATTGCAAGCCAAATATACAGCTTTATAGAGAATTTGGATGTTTTGTTATAGCAGCAGACTATAAACAGACAGAATCCTGGCCAACTTATCCAGCTCACTTCGTTTCTGTTCAGGGCCTCGTTTCCTGCTCAGCCACAGTGGATGGATGATTGGGTCCTTCCCACCTGCGTTCAGATATAAGCAGAAAGTTTAGCAGAGGCTTAGAGCTGCGGAGAGACAGCACTTCGCACCCGTCATCTTACTGGACTTTGCTTCAAAGGTTGAGCCCCAAACTTCTCAGAATGAGTGACTTTTTGGAACATTAAAACTATCAGTGGCTAAGCAGACCCATACGCGTGCAGATTTGCACCATGACATGAAACTAAGGCAGATTTAACAGCAAAATGCCAACCAATTTAGATAGCAAAGAGAGCCAAGATCGCTCCACCCACACCAGAAATCTGGGTGACAGTGTGTACATGTCCTAAGGCAGTCAGGGATCCTAGCTTAGTCGGAACAGCTATGACCTGCCTTTGCCTTTCTCACCGTAGGGCCACTGCACTCCCTTCTGTGACTTGAGTCAAACTTGCTTGCCAAACTCAGACCACAGGATGCAGGAGAGAGTGGAAAAGGAAGGGGAGGGGGAGGTGCAGTTTACTGGGCAGTGCAGGACCTGGCCTCTTGGCAGATACGGGACACTGGAAGCCTTCTCCTTTTAATCTTTTCTGGCTTCCTACTGAAGGTGAGCTTTTGAGGTCAGTGACTTGCTTACCTCACAATGTCTCTTCCTAGGCTGCTACCCAAGAGCTGTGGACTTTGGCCATGAATGAGTTAAGCCAGTTCTCCACTCAGCCGCCCTAAGACTGGTCTTTCACAGGGGAAAGAAAGAGTTGACAGTACAAATGAGTGTGTTTACTTTTGGAGGAAATAACAGATGATTTGACCAAATTCCTCTCAACCAGCCTAGAACCAGGCTTCCCCAGGACACTGCTGCCTAATATAGCAGCCACCTTAGGGACAGCACACACGCACACAACACTCTCCAACCCCAAACATCCCAGAGCTGGGGCGACAGAATGTGCCTCTTACTGTGGCCTGGGAAGACCAGGAGGAATTGTCCACAGCTTTAGGGCTTCCTCAACTGCCTCAGGCAAGGTGATGACTGAACTCAGATTCCCCATGCCTGCTGCTGTCCCCCATTCTGACTTCCCATGCCTGCCACTGCCCCCA